TTTATGTTATTTTATATTAAAAACAAAGAAGAAATTATTAAATTTAGAAAATTTGGAAATATTTAATTCCGGTGATTGATGACTTTATTGGTTGAATTAATTTTATAGTTAATAAAAAGAGAGTTCTTCTTATTAACTATAATATTATTTGTAGATTTGTACCTATTTAAATTAAAAATTCGAATCATAATATTTTTTCTAATATGATTCATTTATTAAAAGTTAAAATATTATTATTTTCTTTACAAAATATTATAAAACGCAAAAATTTAATCCTATTCTACGGCCACGCGGCATTATGTGTTCGTAGTTCTCTGGCATTATACATAAAAATATCTGTTGCATTTGTTGCCCCACTCTTTCATATTTTAAAAGCAATACTAGCGTTGACATGACCGCTCCCTTCTCGATCCACCCTCTCATTCTTTTTCATAACGTGCGATCATCTTTTGCAAACTTTCAAACATAACAGTGAAAGATTCTTCTATAAGCGTCTATATTCTTTGATTTTAGTTTTGCACTATACACCTGAAAAGGTCTTTCAGGTTCTTATCGCCATTCGGATTTCTTTGGGAGTGAAGGTATACTTATCTGAGAGTCCTTAGAAAGAACTGTATGGAATCTTGACGTGTCTGCAGTCTGTTTTATCTCCTTATAACGTCCTCATAATCTTTTCCTTCTACGATTCTCTGTGTGCTCTTGTGAGTCCCGTATTGTATTTAGACAGAGCTTTGCAATAATCCCCCACTGGCCTCAGCTTTTGGAGAAATTAATTTTTTTTCTGACTTCTCTCTATCCGCTTGTTATTGCACCAGAGTAGTTTCCTGTTGGGAGTTTGTCGCTATTTTTGGGCAATTATCTTCGAATGTCGCCATAACAATCTCTTAAACTTGTTCAGCAGTCTTGCCTAGGTCTATTGATATGGTTATGCCTTGATATTATGGTTCCTTCTTTATGAGTGTTACGATAAGTCTCCTTACCAGGCTTACCTGGAAAAAGAAAGGAAGACTTCCTTTCATTTTCTACCTTTATCATTTCTCACCACTTATGATATTATAAATTCAACCTTAAACATTAATCCCATTAAATTAATAGTTCATTCATCGACCTAGAGTCAAAACATAATCAAATGTAACATTTGGAATGCTGTAAATCCATACATGGAGGTCTCTCAGATAACTGTATTGTTAGCTACAAGTACACAAGGCAGTGAGGATGATCTGTTCAGATCGAAAACGTGCTGCTAGAACTTAAATGTTGACGACACTTTTATAAAGTTTTAATTATTTGTTTTTTATACTACAATACACATGTCGCACTAATAATACAATAGTGTCGTAACTCAAAAAAGATGATTTTTCAGAATCAACGAAAAACTGATTACTCATTTTCTATTGCAGGTAAAAATAAAATTAATTCATAATATGTTTCTAATTAATATTAAATGAAGTTTCTTTGTACTCTTTGTTAAATAAAAATACTGACAGTGAAGTTATTAAAAAAATTTGAGTTAACACTGTATTGCTCTAAGCAAAATGTTCAAAATGAAATATTATTTTTAGTTATGACATTATTTATGAAATATTTTGTATTACTACAATTTGATTTACTATTTTTTCTGTGGTTTACGTTAGTTTTGGACAACAATTTTGGGAACTTGATTCTTGGTATTTGTTAACTTCGGATCTAAAGAGATTGTATTACACGTTAACAATTACCGAGAATTGTCAATTTTGGTATTAATAAATAAATCAAGACTGTTTTTAATTACGTTTATATTATAATCAAACAAACTCAGATACAGATAACAAAATACAGTATTCTTGAACATTTTGTACTTAATCTATATATTTAACAAAATAAACCTTCTGAAAAAAAAACACAAAATATAGTCATATTTAAGTAATTCGTGGTTAATTAAAAGGACCTTTTTAAAAGAAAAACAAATTATTTAAACTCAGTCTCAAAACTCAGAGTTTCAATCAGTCTCAAAATCAATTATTACTGATTACAATTAAATACAATTTTAATTTTTAATCGATCAAATCGTTATAGTAAGTTTCACGGTAACTTCTGGGTATTACATTTTTGTCAAGCAATTCCTTTAAGTCCCTTTTCTTATTTTCAGTTAAAGGTATCTTGTTTGTGTACTCTCGTGTCAAACCATTAGCAAATAACGAAGTCTGGTTTTCAGTTCGTCGTAAGCTACGTATGAAAACTTTTTGGTAATCTTCATCTTCGTAAGAGTTCTTATAAAAGAAAGTAAATGGATGTTCGTTTTCAACACGAAATACCTTAATGTCATGCCATTTCATTTTGTCTTTTTCTTCATTAACATTAAAATTGTTACCCCACTCGTCTTGAAGTAATTTCAGATTATAAAATTTTTCATTGGTCATTTCAGTCACGCTATAGGGTTTGCCTGTCTTTTTAGCCGACTGAATTAATGTCATATATTGTTGTGGGACATACACTGGACCAGATTTTACGAAACGTTTTACTTGCTTTTCTATGACGCTATGCACATTGTCACCCTCGTTTTGAGAGTGACCGCGAATCAGAAATTTATGGGTTATGCTTTTGACATTCATTTTTTGTACTGCGTACGCATATGCTGTAAGGATGTATTTATTTTTTTGTTGTCCGCAACAATTATCAGAACAAAATATAAAATCCAGTTTTTTACCAGGATTATCCTGTAAAATTTTTTCTATATATTTCAGAGTACAACTCCCAATCTCATTCGCACCACGTTTTCCCTCCGTTTCGTCCCAAAAATAGCATTCGACATTTTTAGCGAACAAGTCACTCACAGTAAAATTAAAACAGTTAATTATACTTTTGTAAAAAAATATTGAAAATTGGCCTTTCGGTACTGGCATCACAGCTTGTAAGTCATATACAGCGACTATTGTTGAATCTATGTTAGCATTTTTGTCTTTTTCTTTCTCTTTTCTGGACAGTTCTTTTTCTTTCAAATGGTTTTCGTACGCCACAATAATATTCTTTTTTCCATCTTCATCAGAATTTGTGAAATTTTTGCAAAGATCACACTGATCTTTTTTTGGTGTGTGGAAGGAAATGTTAAAGTCTTTATTAAAAATGCGGTTAAAGGTAGATGCTGACGCAAATGATAAGCTTCCTTCTGTACATTTATCTTTGTAGTCTCGATATAAATCAGCTAAAGACTTGTCACACTGTATATATTCCCGTGACGTCTGGGCTCTAAGGTAATGTGATTCGACGCGTGGTATAGCATTTATAAAATGTTTGACACCTTCACAGATCTCCGGTTCCACAGTACGTTGTTTGCCATGTTTTCCACGTAATTCATCTTTTATTAAACCACACTCTGTTTTTTTGGATAGTGCTGTAGCAATGAGTCGATCGTTTATAGCAAGAGTATTTTTAAACATTGTTTTGCAAACTCTAATGAGATCGTTATTTAATATAAAATTAAATCCAGTATTTAGTTTGCGAACATTTTTTGTTGAAGAATATCTGTACTTTGGTTTAATTTCTATAGTATGTCTAATAATGAATTCTCTTTATTTTTGTAAATCTCCCAAATTCCAATACTTATTAAAAATATCTTGTCTTGATGTCTCGTTTATTCGTGAACGACAGTTTAACCTGCATTTTTTGCCACAAGTCGGACCCATTTTCCTTGCAGGCACTTGTTTTTGGTCTTCCAAGGAAAATTTTAATTCATTAGTTAACCCACTAGTTCCAACAAAAGGACTTAAATTATGAACAACTCTATCATCCGAGCTACTTGATGAACAGCTACTGGTAGAAGAGCTACTCGATGAAGAGCTTCTTGAAGAAGAGCTACTTAATGATGTTATTGTTAGGCCTTGAAGCAAATTATAGGTTTTACTTTGCACACCAGGAACGAAATGCGGATCTCGGTCGGAATCATCGGAATCAAAGTCGCCCTGGTCTGAGTGGATCGGTGAAATGTAATATTGCCCGTGGTTGGATTCTATAATAGGTTTAACATTACTAACCTTACTAAAGAAACTGTTTACGTCAATTTCTTGAAGTACTTGATCACTCGTAAATGGTGAAGGTATAGAAGGTGATCGTACTTTCGCAACGTCACTGTTTTCTATTTGGACATCAGGTTCATTATTTCTACTCTCCACTGACAATAATGACGGTGAAGAGATTTCCTGCTCGCAGTCCTCAGCATTTGTTGCCATACCAACAAGTAATCGCCCACGACTCATAGGTATTAAACCTACAAATGAATCAATTAATATTATTAGATTAAGTATATAGGTACTTGACGGAAGAATGTCACAAAGAGTGTATTAACTCTAAATTTATAAAAAAAGTAGTTGATAAGCTTTCTTAATAACAATGCTACACTTCTTAAATGAGTTATTACTATTCGGTGATCGGCAAATAGATATTGATTAATAAATGTTTTACAAACAACAACAAAAATGGTTTAAAGTGATTATTCAACAATAATGTAGCATGTCAAAAATAATGAACTGAACCAAGAATAGTGTCGTTAGTAAAAATAATAATTTAAAAAGTGCTGGTGTAAATCAGTAATAGTGTAATAACTAGAAAAACAACAATATTATGGTTAGGTCCAGATCAACAAGAATGTAATAATTTGAAATATAGCTATGAAAATTACATACCTGATTCAGCAATAACGTTGCAACTCGAAATGATGAGCAAAGCAATACGTGCGTTCCCGATCACCGTTGGTTGCAACTAAAGATCACGCGATATTGTGAAGGGGGTGACGGCAGTCGATCAGTCATGAATATCGTCTTATGGCGCCATATCTTATTCATTTATTGCACTATTAAAACGACAGTTTTATTGACTTATAGGGAATTAAATTTTACGCGTGAATATAATGTTATGTCAATTTCGACGAATTTTGAATTGCGACACTATTGTATTATTAGTGCGATGTGTGAAGTGTTTTAACTTCTGTGTTTTTTTAACATTTATACCTGGAAAGAAATACTTACCAACGACTGAATTATCATCAGGTCCAAAAGCACATATGCTAGGCGGCCCATTTGGAACTGAAAATTTGCAGAACGACCATGTAGAAGAGAAGTATTTAGGCAAAAACATGGCATTTGCTAGAGAAGATTGTTTGTTCAACTTAGGATCAGCTAGTGCGAAAACGTGGACTGTTCCGTGATCTGACGATACACAAAGAGAAGTTGAGCTTTTATTAAAGTTGATACAGTATATAGTTGCCTAAAAAATCAACATGTAAGTTTTCATAATATTTACAATATTTGAATCGGTGTAAACAAAAACATTCTAAGTCGTTTTTTTTTTCATTTTTGACACTTTGATGGAAAATTGTTCTATGAACAAAAGCGCATCTTTTGGCACAAAAACATTCTAAGTCTCTACTCTCCATGTATGTTAAATAGAAACTGAAATATATCATTGTAGACTAAAAGATTCTATGTCAGTGACTCAGAATGTTTTTGTAGGCAACACTATTAACATATGTGTTTGGACTGTATTAATGAATCATGTATATTCTGTGAATATCTAATAAAATTAAATAACCACATGTTTGATGATTGGTTTTGTGACGTTAAAGTTGCATTTAGCATCATTTTATTGTATTCTTTTAAAAATTGCGATAGATAACGAACCAAGCAGTACCAGCGACGGAAGAAAAGTAAAAAATGAAGCTAAGTGGAAACGAAATATCATGAGAAATGCTAGAGTCAAAGGTGAGGAGAAAATTAATTACAAAGGTAGAGTTGTACCAGATATCACTGTTGGCCCTGATTGCAGGTAAGATACGTTTTGCAGTCTATATAATAAACTAAGGTTTACTTCATCGAGATTTTTTTGATTGTAAGCAGAAGTGTACAGACCGCTTGCAGAATCAAGCTGAAGAGATATTCGTTTGCGAGAGATATTTGTTTGCTTTCGAGAGGCTCTCTGCGAGGGCTGCTCATAATGTTTATTTTACATACGAGGTAATTGTGGGTGAAACCAGAGAAAAGGTATGTATAGAAGCATTTAAGTCGCTATATGGAATTAAAATAAGTCGTATTAAAAGGCTTAGTTCATTATTATTAATGGGTAAATCCCCGAAGGATCTTCGTGGGAAAAAAATGGGCACTAATGCAATCAGTGCTCATACCAGGCTATTAATAAGACAAGTCCGGATGAGGTTTGTTCCTTTGTATATAATTATTTAAACTCTGCTCCTCATCAGTTTACGGAAGTCCACATTTACTCGGATAATTGCGGAGGTCAAAATAAGAACCATATATTAAACAGAGTGTTTTTAACCCTTACCGACAGTGGTCGATTCAATCAGAATCAGAAGATATACTAGATTTTCAACATGGTGGCCAACCTACTATAAAAAGACGTGCATTTCTGAGGAAGCAAGAGGAAAACTTATTCCTGTTAAGGATAAGATATCTTTTGGTATAAGTTCTTTTATGCACTTTACCTATGGAACAGCTAAAGGTGTGATTGTTTGTAGGTCTTTTATTGATGGATTCATGGAACAAACCTATAAACGGTATCAATACTTTGTTATCCATCCGGTAAAGTACCACTTAAAAAAGTGAAGTTCTAAGATATTGGTAAGTTATTACCTTATATACCTGATAGTGTCAGACAGTTTTATGACGAATTAATGGAGTGACCAACAACTGATAGTCCCAATACTGGGGAAGATGAACATGACATCCAGTAGGAGGAAACATGAGATTTTGAAGCATTTAAAAAATGACTGAATGTTTGTATTTATAACTTTTACTTAAAAATTGTATTTTTAGGTTAAATATATACATTTTTTTAAACAAACAAAATGAAGGTTTTTTTGTGTCATCTTCAAAAGTTCTAAGTCGACCAAATTTAAACATATATTTCATATATGTACACCTATTATTTTGCACTGAGAAATATGAAACATTACATCTAAAAGTGTCACAAACATTCTCAAATTTTTTGGTATTAATTTAGATGACTAATACAGATCTATATAGTTTTTTTCAGTTTCCCGAAAAAATGGTTTTCATTTTTTCAATGGTCAACGTTTTTGTTGCATTAATTCACTTAATTTAATCATAATTTGTTCTCTAAAGTAAAGTCAGTACAAAAATAAGGAGAAAAAAACCTGCTCGATTAAAATTGGAAATGTAAAAGAAAAAGAATTGATAAAAAACTAACATAAGCTAAAAGAACTTAAGAGGAAAAGATCTACAAAGAAAATGATAGAAGAAGAAAAATTAAAGGGAAAGATATAAAAATTTATTATAATAAATTGATTGTAAACGGGTCATAATGAAAATGGAACAAGCTTACGGGAAAGCTGGAATCAACAAATACAAAAAAAAACAACAATAAAAAGTAAAAGGCCAAGGAAATAAACATAACGAATATGGAAAAGCAAAGTAATATAATTAAAATAGACAATAATAGTAATGAAAGCAGTGATAAATCTAAAAGTGAAACAAAAGCGATTTGGGAGCAGCGGGTGTGAGATTCATAGTAAAATCAGAAAGTAGAAAGAACATAATTGGTAAAAGATACATAAACGGAAGAAGACTATCTAGTAGTGGAAATAAAAATGGATCATGGACATGTTACCACCGTTATTACAGCATATGCGCCAAATGATACATGAAAAGCATAAAGATGATTTTTTCGAAATATTAAAACAAAAACTACATAACGGCGGAGAAAATACATTATTAATGCAAGATTTGATCGGCAAATAGAAAAAAAAAATAAAACAATTGAAATACATCTAGGATAGCATGCGGGAGAAATATAAAACAAAAGTGTAAAGAGAATTATAGAACTGTGCACAGCAAACGACTTAGTCATAACGGATTAAAAATTCAAGCATATGTATATCCAAATATATCAGAAAAGTACCCTTAGGAAATGAGAAATCCATTACACTTTCTATATCCGACATAGAAAATTGAAAATGAAAATTATAAAATATGTCAAAACAAGGGTGGGAATCATCCACCTTCTCAAATTCAAAAAAATTCTTTCTACAGCAAAGAAGTATGGGGATTTTAATAAAAATCACAAATATATGTAAACAATGAAAAACAAATGGTATATAAAAGAAATAAAATCAAATGTTAAATTTAAGAAGAATGTGTGGAAAAGGTACTTGAAATCAAAGTCAGAGAATAAATACCAAGTATATAAAATTGCATATATTCACAAAAGAATTGCCAACAGAATTGTGTCAATAAATCAAATCTCAACAAATGTGGTCTACTTAAACACCAAAATAAGCGCATAGCTATATCCTAAAGATCATTTAAGTGTACGGACCTATTTAAGTGTACGGCCCTACTACAGGACATCAAGATGAAGAAGTCCAAATGAAGGGGTCAATGCAAAAAGTGTCTAAGTCACTTTTTTACGGAATTGGGTTAGTACCGCCATCTAGTAACGTTTTTATAAGCTTTCAAACGTTACTTTAAAAAATGCGCACATCTGTACCTTAGTCCATTAGTTAACATTTATATTCTATGATCAAATATCCTGTGCAATCAAGGAAAATCCTGGCCACTTCTTAATAATAAGTGGCGATTTAAACGCCCCAAAATAGGCACTAAGGAAAACCACTCTGAAATTTAACGGCAAATTCCTTGCTCAGATTGCCCCCGATCCTATATATGCCGAACACATTGTAGAATCCAAAACAGGATTTATGAACATTCCATTTCTGTTCGCAATTCCTATCAATTTCAGCTCTAGGTTGACATCATCCTCATAGAGGTCACAAAATTTATTTTGAAAACTCCAGAACCCTAGCCCATATCCGCTTCTATAAACTAAAAATTATCCGAGAAGCCATAGAAATTTAAAAAAGGCGAAATTGTCTCCATAAAAGAGATGACGGCATACGGTTATCTTCGACATGGAGGCCTCTTATAAAGAAAATATCGTCCGCTCCAGCCGTCAATCAAAATGCTACTGTCCGTAATGCGTTTGTTATCGATCATTGTAGTAGTGTCTGGGGGCTCGGGAGACTGACACCTCGGAAGAAGACACCAAAGAGGATGTTGAAAGCTTGGCGCAATGATAATCGGCGCGATAAATGGCGCGGTTTAATTGACCCGGAAGATGGTCGAGTTTAATATTAATTCTTGTAATAGTATTAATCATAGCTCTTATTTTAATATATATATATATATATATATATATATATATATATATATATATATATACATATATAGATAGATATATCAAGCAAAAACAATTAACTAATTTAAATAGTAAAGTTTCAACATACCTGATTACTTCCCCTTCGTAATTCTGTTATCTTCTGTCCACTTTGTGTATTAAAAACTCTTATAAGCGTTCCCTTTTCGCTTGCGGTAGCTAATAATGTCCCTTGCTGATTCAGTGCTATGCAACTAAGATTTGCTTCGTGGGCGACGATGTCTAAGGGAGATTTTTCAGTTTTCGCTAAATCTACAAGCTGCACATAACCTGTTTTTCTACCAGGAAATGCCAATATTGAGTTGTTGCTATTTGGACATAAAACACACAAACCTTTGAGATTTGAGCTTGTTTCGAATACATGCAGTTGCTGGGGACTTTGTGTGAATGTATATACTTTGATTACTCCTTCTAAAATTAAAAAAAAAAATTAAAAATTTTTAATATTTTTTACAGGCTGCTTTTAATGTGATAGTTACGTTAGTGCTATTACATGTTGCTATCATTCTTATGTTTATAATTTTTATATATAAGGTTAATTTGTATAAGTTGCAATTCGCAGTATCGACAATGGATGCGTAGTGTTCAATTACTTAAACTTTAAAGTGGTATGTGTTAGATGAGATGTCTTGTTCGAACCATCGACACATCTGTTTTCAATAAACAGGTAATAAGCCTGGCAATGAGTCTTATCGTAACACTCGTAAAGAAGGAACCATATTAAGGAATAACCATATCAGGAACTTGGAATAACTTTTAGACTTAGTTAAACGGACGATAAGCATACAATAGACCTAGACAAGACTGCCGAACAAGTTTAAGATATTGATATGGAGACATTCAGAGATAATTGCCCAAAAATAGTGACGAACTGCCAACAGTAACGTACCCTGGTCCAATAAAAACCAAGGACAGAAATCAGACGAAAATTTAATTTCGCCAAGAGCTCAGGCGAGTAAGGGGATTATTGCAAAGCTCTGTCTAGATACAATACGGGACTGAGAAGGGCACACAGAGAATCGTGGAAGGAAGAAATAAAAAGATTCTATTCTGGAGAAGACATTTCATAGTCGGAAGTCCTTTGTAATTTCGTAGAGTTTTACCAGCAGCCGTTGATGGTTGCTGTGTCATAGGCGGCAGTCAGGTCTATGAACGCTACTCCCGTTAGTTCTTTCCGTTTAAACCCATCTTCAATATGTTGGGTGGAATTAAGGACATTATGAGGAGATAGAACAGACTGCGGATATCAAGATTCCATAAAGATCTTTTACTGCAGGTTTCACTAAAGGACTCTCAGATCAGTATACCTTCACTGCAGAAGAAATTCGAATGGAGATGAGAAACTGAAAGAACTTTTCAGGTGCAAAGTGTAAAACTTAAATGATACCACTAGATATTTTAATATACTGGACTAATTCATTACTATTAAACTGGGAATAAGCCACAATTAAAGATAAAAATGCGTTTATTGACGTTTCAATTTCCACTTCGGAAATCGTTATTAAAGCATACAAAGTATTTTTAGTGATAAATTTATTTGATATTGATAACTGATTTTAAACTGGTTGAAAATAATGATATAAATTGATTAATAGTAATGATAATATATTTTTGACTGTTCTCGTTCTTAATTATTTTTTTGTTAATGTCATTCGTTGTCCATGACAACCGGCACACTATGAGTTGTTCAGTTCCAATACACTTATGATATTGTTTTTATTTCTGCAACATACCGCCAGCCTTGAAATACCCTGGTTATTTCAATAAACAAACAAGAAATTAAAAAGAAATGATAAAAGTAAAGCATACAATTGTTCAATATGCATAAACTAACATTAAATGTCTATTGGTAATATGCACACACGTGAGAGCGCTCTTGTCACTTCACCAGTGTTTGTTTTTACTGTCACAACGCGTATTTTGTTGTCTCTGCCTTGATGTACCATGGATATGCGTCCTAGCTTCCACTGTAGAGGAGGTAAATTGTCTTCTTTAAGACACACTAGTTGATCCACCTTCACTTCACGTTGATTAATAGTTCTCCATTTGGATCTCGACTGAAGTTGAGTTAGATATTCGGTTGACCATCTTGCCCAAAAATGTTGTAACACTTGAGTCATATGTTGAAATGTGTTTAGGTTTAAAGAATTTTGAAGATTTGGCTCAGGAAAGGATGTTAATGGTGAAAATATTAGGAAGTGACCTGGGGTCAAAGCTTGAAGATCTGTTGAGTTTGATGATAAAGGAGTTATAGGTCTGGAATTAAGACATGCTTCAATTTGTGTTGTCAAAGTTCCAAAATTATCTAATGAAAATATATGATTGCCAATAATTCTTGTGAGATGATATTTAAATGATTTGACTGCTGCCTCCCACATTCCTCCATAATGTGGAGATCTAGCGGGAATAAATTGCCATTTTATTGATTCTATTGTCAAAAAATTGTTAATTTCATTTTTGGAAGTTTCTATAAAATCATAATGAAAATTCGTTCTTGGAGGAGAAACATTTGTTAACATCTGTTTTATTAAAAAATGATTATCCTTTATCGTTTATAAATAAGGAATTTTCAACAATCGATCGAATAGAACAGAACAACTTAGAACGAGATCCTACAGCATACACAAGGAATAATATGAGGAAAATAACAATACCGTACATAAAAGGACTATCAGAAAAACTTAAAAGGATAGGAAATAAATTCAACATTTCAACAACATTAAAAACAACAAACACGTTGAGATCTATTTTGTCCAAAACCAAACCTAACAATGAACAAGAAAGGACAAAGAATTGCATTTATAAAATACCTTGTGAATGCGATCAGTTTTATTTAGGTGAATCATCAAGGCCATTAAATGTTAGAATAAGTGAACATCAATCTTATATTAAAAATAAATAATTTGATAGATCTCAAATCTGTAAACACGCATGGGATAATGAACATAGGGTTCAATGGAATAATTCAAATGTAGTCCTAAAAGAAACGGATGGTAAAAAAAGAAAAATCAAAGAAGCGGCTCTAATTATGCTAAATCAGGCCAATTGTGTCGCAAATTCCTCGGCAGAATGTAGTAGGATCTGGTTACCAATATTGAAAGAGGAAGTTATTAATAAGAAAATACCAGTATTAGTAAGTCAGTAACATATAGAGGATACATCATTTATGTTTTTTAAATAAAGTAACATATAAAATCAGAATTTTGATGTTTGTTGAAGGTAAACTAAATTCACGAACAAATACTTACAATGTCGGGATAGTATTATCAGGTTTTTTTCCTGGGTTTCCCTCATAATTTATTATGGAATCACTAACAGGAGAATTTTACTGTCATCATGTCATGTGTTTGTCTTTTTAAAGACGAATTACATGCTATGATTTTTTTCTGACGGATATTCTCAAGTTAAAGTTGATTTCATGTAATCGAATGAACTATCTTATAAGTAAAGTCGTCCCAGGAGCGCAACTCAACAATATTGGCAATATCATTTTAAAGTCGTCTACTTTAAAATGCATAATGTATGTCTGAATTGTCAATATAAATGAGTCAGATAAAATTAAATTATTAGAAGAATTTTTCACTATGTAACAAAAAACAAAATTTGTTTAATTTACTGTTTGTATTTTGAGAACGATTTCCGAAGTGGAAATTGAAACGTCAATAAACGTATTTTTATCTTTAATTGTGGCTTATTCCAAGTTTAATGGTAATTAATTTACAATGCCACAAGAGAATAGCTTCAGAACAATACTGGACTAATGGATATTAATGGATTAATAGATAATTACACTGGACTGAAAACCATAACTTATGATTCTAAGAAAAACCGGCCGGTGACAAAGAAGTGGTAGATCACGAAAAAGTCAGATGGAAAATCAACTCGGTTGAACTATACAAATCACCGGGTCCAGACAGGCTTCTACAATATTTCTACAGAAAGGAAATTACCTTCTGTATAAAAATTATGTAGAATACTACAGATTAGCTTAGAACTGGGATACATACAAAGATTATGAAGACTATACCTTATTTCATTAAGCGATGCAGGGCATATAAACAACGATAAATTTAACAGATAATTGTTAAAGATGTTGAAAAATAAGTCTACTCGTTCCGATAAGTGACAGTATAATTATGACACTTTATTATTTTTTTTCTTTTCTCAAATATTCGTGTTTATTGCATAGTAAATAAATTAATGTTATCACTGAATACACAGTAAGTGAAAAAATAATCCGATTTACAAAATTAATGAATATTTTATGCATAAATGCAAGTAACAGCTCTTCAAAAATATTTAAAAACTAACCGAAATGTCCATCTTTATTTCGTATGCCGATGTTGTCGGCAGCTCATACCGGTTCGGACACGATTTAATGTTTACATCTTCCTGTATCGCTTAATGAATTTTACTATAATAGAGGTAGCTGTTATACCAAACTTGTCAAAATAAGTCACTGAAACCGATAAGTCTTGATTTACGTTATTTGTAGCGAAGACTTTACAGAAACTGCTTGATAGGCACGCTAGAGATGGCATATTGGTTTAAAGTCCAATATATCTCGGACACTGTGCGTCTAGAGCTAGATTTTCTACGGAAACGGCACTACATCGTCTCGTAGAGAGGGATACTAACTGTTTTATGGAATGAACTCTTGTTTATGGAATTTCACACCTCGATCAATAGTACCCCGCTGAGCTGAATATTAATGAGTTTCTTAGAAAGACAAATGAACTATACTATGAACTATACATTCTCGTTGAACTATACATTCCCGTAGACAGCTACTATGAAAAGTAGTAGTACATACTACTACTTGTCTCCGGAGGCGTGTCAGTCAGGAGCTGACAGCCGTGCCAGACGCATCAAGAAATTCGGAGATTGGTCCAAATACTTGGGAATTCCAAATTTGGCCAAATCCGAATTTCTGATTGGCTCGATGCAGAGAAAATTCCACTTTTGCTATGTGAAACAAAGGATTTGTTTTACATAAAAGCAAGTGGATTTACTGTAGACCTAGTCGGTGCTATTATTGTTCCGACTAAGCTATTGTTTTATTTCTGATTTCCTGCATACCATTTCTTTTATTTTCAGCATTATTGTATATTCAGACCTTGTCAGGTTAGAATATTACATATTTGTTCATGTACTGATTGTTTGCTATTTTATTTGATTATTTTTGATTGTTTATTTTCTTGTATTTGTATCTAAGCTGTTCTTCCGTAAGTTAAGAATACTTAGAAATATTTATCTTGCTTTTTTCTATTTTATATATTTGATTTTGTACTTTGTATCTAAGTAGTTCTTTTCGGTAAGTCAAAGAACACTTAGAAATATTTTCATATCGCATTATTATTTCTGATATTTTATCTAAGATATTTTCTTCCGTAAGTTAAGAAAATACTTAT